GATGCCACAAAGCTACTCCACAGGAGTCTTTGTTAATCCTGATCTTTATACCCTAAAAAAGGTATTGCTTCTTCATTGTAGAACAGACATGATAATGGGAAATACGTATGGGCCTTACCCTATAATTAGGGTGCATTCAGAAGTGTCACAGGGTTTCCAGGCAGGCACCCTGACTCATCACTAAAGGGTGTGACTGGTCTCAGGGATTTATTTGTAAGATTTTCTTTAAATGCTGGTGGGTTCCTTCCTATTCAATGGGATGTCAGAAACCAGAATTTGAAGAGCCTGTTGGGGCCCAATTGGTCAAACTGCTGATAAGCCAGATAAAGCTGTTTGTGCCAATTGCTGCCAGCCCTAAAGGTGATGAAGGAAATCTTTTACCCACCTAACCCCAGGGAAATCGGTTAGCCAGACTGAAGCAGCAGGGAGCTGTCCAGGATCCTTTCTTTTTTTAATAACACCCTCAGGATGGACAAATTTAGTCCTGTAATTTTTTTTTTTTTTTCTGAAAAAACATCAATCAGCTTATGAATAATGACTGCCCCATGCGTATATTTCTTTCTGACCTCAACTCAGTCAAGTGAGTTTGATTTTATAATTATCTTGCCGTCTTCTGCCTGGCACAAATGAGGATATTAGCTCTATTACTACCAGCTTATTAACTTTCTGCTTTCACTCAAACTTTGGTCTTTTGGAGCCAAAGGTTTTATGTAGCCAAAGGTTTCCAATTTAAGCAGTCTGTAGATAGCACTACGATATATGCCTGTGTACATATTTATAGATAATTTTATCTGAGACAGTTTAGGGGTGGAATACCTTTATTTGTAACTGGGAAATAAGAAGTTTACTAGGCCTTCAACTACATTCACTACAACAGCTACTACTTTCACAGCAGAATATCCCACACCAAGACAGACAGTGTTATTTTACTACACCATGTGTACAGAAAATGGGCAGATTCTCACCATGAACGTTTCTGAGAAAGCTGGTCTGCCAGGGTTGTAGCTGTAGAGCCAAGTTCTCCCTAATATATGATTTACACACTATACTGTCGAATATACACAAAATCATTGTGCATCCAGAGAAAGCAAAGATATCCTGAAAACTCCTTTAAGCATCCCGAGTTCTAGGCCTCGTGACAGTCTGCATTAGAGCAGTCTCAGGACTATTGCCGAGCTACAACAGCCTCCAAAAAGTCACTCCTCAAACAAGAGCAACTGAAGCACAGCAGTGTTCTGGCTCTTGCCTTCATCTCTTCCCCCCACCCCCCTCCCCATCCTTCCTCCACCATATTCCCGTGCCAGGATTCGTAAGGTGGCGATACAAAACCAGCAGATGGGCTAAACACCAGCTGACAAAGGGACCGGGAGGTGGTTTCCTAACGGTTCACTCCTGCCCACTGCCACGCTTACTTTACATCTCAGTTTGAGGACAAAAAAATTACCTCTGCTTTTCTTGTAAATTCTTGAGGATACAAATTAATTGAAACATAGTAGGAACATTGTTCTTTAGGGTCTAATTTTTAATTCATAAACCCAAATGAACCTATAGCATCACAGTGTAAACATAATCCTGTTTATGGTAATGATTTTTAAGTTTAAGGCACAACAGGATGAGCTGCAATTACTGACTCTGTAGCAGCCTCCCTGCACTCGCTTCTGTAAGTCGCTACATCTCTTCCTGGCCCAAGGTTTTTGCCTAATCTACTTTCCTAGCTCTTTCTGTTAAAATTGTTAATTATCTTGGGAAAAGACACACTGGATATTTGCACAGGCTCTACCTTACAAGGAGCACTAGTTGCCACTACAACATTAATTACTAACAAAAACAATCTAAATTTTACTCCATCTACTTTTTTTTTTAAAAAAAAAAACATATATATTTTCTTCATTTCCTGGTTCTGCAGTTTGTGCCCATCTCGCTGTGGCATTGCAGTAAAGCTCCAACAGGTGCTTTAAAAACACAGCCTGCTATGGGAAAACACATAGAACAGAAAGATGCATTGCTAGGTGGAGATATATTTACTGTCAGGAAACAATGATTTTGTGATAAAGAAGATGGAGTATACGACTGTAAGCATTAAGTAGTATTTTCAATTGAGCTGCGCTTAATCATGAAAAATGTATGCTGGCCTTATTTTACCATCTGTACACCCTTAAAATGGTAGGGGCAAGGAGATCAAGCAATGATTTTTCCACCCCTCATAGTTTTCCTGTGAGAAGTGGAAAATGCCTTTCACCCTAGTTCTGGTGCCAGGCATTGAGTTGTTTGCTATCACAGAATTTCGTGTCAGATGGAGGAGACTGAACTGTGAATTCCTAAACCTAGAAAAATATTTTCAGATGTCTGTGCAATCCAAAGCAGCTGTTAAACCTCTGCACGCTGACAGTAACTTCATGCCTGTGCTCTGACAGAACAGGGATGGAGACATCCCCAAAAAGACATTGGGCTTCTGAAAAAACATCAATAGCCTTTGTAAAAAAAAAAAAAAAAAAAAAAAAAAAAAAAGAAAAGAAAAAAAAAGAATCCAAAACACAAACAACAAAGCAACTGATTGAGGAAAAAAGTGCAGGCCTCACCCACTCCTGAGTGCCCTGCCCAGGACTGTTCAGACAAGACTGAGCGGTCCTTAGGAAGGCTCTGCACTTCACAATACCAGCTGTGCTTTCACAGTTCAAGCACCCAATAAACTGGCAGAGAAAAAGCATTCATGATGGGCACATCAGTTAAAATTACACTGATGTCAAATAATCACAAGGGATATGAAAAGCCAGAGAGATTGTGATACATAACATTGTAACAATGGCTATTAAAATCAGCATTTCTCCCTCTCCTTCAAACTGCAGCGTATCTCTCAGCACAGTACTTTCTCTGTGGTTGACCATATAACAAACATACCCAAGGAAAATACAACCTCCTAAGAAGAAAGTGTCATCCTTTGAGACCTGATGTCAAATGAATGCTCATTCAAATAAACATCTGTTACATCCACACGTTGCTGCAGTAAATCTGTTTTAATAAAGGCTGGGAAAAAGTAAAATACAGGCTGGCTTTTCAATTAGTCTCTATTAAATGGGCTTTATTTTCACTTTGTATCCTGAAAGCCACATAAGCCACACAACATAGAGTAGCTAACATGGTGTGCAACTCTTGACCAATCTACTTACACCTGTGTTAATTTTCAGCTGAAATAATAAAAAAAAACCCCTTAATCCTGACTTTCAAAGCTCCTGCAAGCCTTATCTTGAACATCAACAGAATTGGGGGGGGGGGGGGGGGGGGGGGGAGGAAGGGAGGGAGGGAGGGAGGTAAGAAAAGAGAAGAAGACTCTCAGTGCTGACTGATAGATTTTTGATATTTCCATGCTTCCCTTTTACTAATTATGCCCAGATTGCTCATCATGCCAGATACTGTTTATGCTAGGAATTTTCTACAGCATACCTCAGGGGCAAATTGCCTGTAGTGGTGATTTGGGAATTCTCCATAGCCTACTTTAACAAACAAACCTCCAGTATTCCTCCACATCACATCATTCAACTCTCGCCAAATCTTCACCATCCTTTTCAACTAAGCTAACTTCATCTACCCAGAGAAGGGTATATTCCCTGACACACCAATTGCTTATTCCCTCTAGAGCACAATATATGCTTTCTGACCCCTTGGATCCTGCAGAAGCTAAGAAAACACAGTAGTTTTTTAAGTCATTAAGGCTGTTGATAGTGAAAGCCCTTGAGGTAAAAGCCATCGAGGCAAAAGCTCTTGTGCTGGACAGCAACGTTTGCCTGAGATTTCATGTAAATTGCACAAACATTTACAGTAATTGTTAATTCCGTCTCTGCTAAAGCCCGTTATCCACAATCTCATCTACTTTTCACAGAATAAGTCTTCTTTTACAAGTGGATTTTATTGCCAGGATGATCAGGCTCTAAGTTTGGAATATTTACGTTATTTCAACTGGCGGATCGCTTTTCCCACACGGTGTACTCCAGGCGTATGGCACGAAAAGCTGTTCACGTACACACCAGAACAGCGCATTCACGACAGGCCAGAAAATAAACTAAATCTCCATCCTGTACCATCTTCCTGTGATACCTACCGCAACTGCTGCCGTCTATCCCCCTTTCCTCTTTAAAACGTTCAGAATTGGGCACGCTGGCGGCTCACGGAACAACTCCCAATTCCGTTTTTAACCCCGAATACCGCTGGCTGGAGCAGCGAGGCAGCGGGGTGGCACTCCCGCCCGGCAGGGCTGGGTTTAGGGTGCGTTGGGGCTCCTCAGCCCCGCGCAGGGCCTACGGGCAGGGCCACCGCTGGGGCACCCACACAGGCCCCACGCCAGACCCCCACGCTTCTCCCGCTCCCACGCGTGGAGATGAGCCAAGAGCAGAGATTTTTTTGGAGGGGAATACGTGAGGGAGGTAGCAGCAGGGTGAGAAACCACCAGCGGGTCCCATTCCCGTGCCAGCAGCCGGCGCCTCTCCCTGCCCGAACGCCGGGTGCGTGGCGTGAGGTGAGGTGCGAGGTGCGAGGCCGGGGCTGGCGGAGGCCGCGGGGCCCCCACCGGGGTGCCGCTGTCGGTGGGCGCCGGCCTGGCAGGGCCCGCGGTGGTGCCCAGCAAGAGCCCGCCGGGGCCGGGGCCGAGGCCGGGGCTGGTGCTGAACGACCGTCGAGGGTCGCGTCCCCCCGCCCGCCCCCCGCCGCCTCTGCTTTGTCCTTGCCCGGCCCGGAGCACGCGCGCCCTCGGCCGCGGCGGGAGAGCGCCTGCGCGCACCCCGGGCCGGAGGGGGGCGCGCTCCGGCGGCCGCCGGGCGGGAGCGAGCGCCCCCTCGCCTCTCCCCTCCCCCCCCCTCCCCCCCCCCCCGCCCCGTTTCCCCGGGAGCTCCGGCGGCAGCGGCGGGTGGGGGCGCGGCGGCGGCGGCAGCGGGCGGGGGCGGGAGGCCGGAGGCGCCCGGCGCCCCCTCCCCCGCCCCCGCCGGCGCGCTCCCGCCGCCCCCCGCCCCGGCCCCCCGGCCCGCCGCGGGAGCCCGCGCCGCAGAGCGGGGCCCGCCAGCGCCACCCGCCGGCCGCGGGGCCGCACCGCGCCTCCCCCCGTCCCCCCCTGCTCCGGCTCTCAATGTTCCACACTGCCCGGCCACAGAGCCGCCGCCGCCGCCGTATAGCCCCCCGGCCGCCTCCGTCCCCTCCTCGGGCGCCGCGGGCCCGGCCCGGCCCCCCGCCATCCCGCCCCTCCGACCCAGCAGCGGGACAGGACGCCGGCGAAGGTAAGGGAGAGGCGGGCGAGGCGGCTGCCGCGGCGGCTGGGCGAGCGCGGTGGGGGGAGGCGGGGAGGAGGCGGGGGGGCTGGTAGAGGAGCTTTGTTCTTGTTTTCGGCGCTCGCTGCCTGGCGGCGGCCGAGGGGCGCGGAGCCGGCCCGAGTTCACGCCTCACTTGGTGCACACGCACGGTGCGGTGCGGGGCCAGGCGCGGAGCCGCCGCCGCCGCCCGCCGAGCCCCGCCGCGCCGCGCCGGGCTCTCCCCACAAAGCGCGGCCGGGCGGGCGGGCGGCCGCCTCCAGCCCTGCCGCAGCTCCCCACCGCGCTCCTCCTCGGCCCCCCCCGGCGGCCGGGGCAGCCCCCTCCCCCCCCCCCCCCCCCCCCGCCTTCTCCCCCCTCCCCCCCCCACCCGGTCGGCGGAAAAATGTCGGTCTGCCTGGTGGAGCTGCGCGGGGAGCGGCGGCGGGGAGAGCTGTGCAGAAGGTGCAGTTTGAATTATGCTTCTTCCCCCTCCGGCAGCTCGGCGGTGGCCAAATGCAGTTCTCGCTGCTGGCCATGTAAATAACCGGGGCTGCTGCTGCCCGAGTTACCTTAAATGCATCTTGGGGGGGTTTTTTTGCCCCCTTTTTAAAAAAAAAAAAAACAAACCCAAACAACAACAACAAAAAAAGCCACCCTCGCCTCATCGTGGCCCCCCCGCCGCCCAGCCCTTTAAATGCACAGAGCAAGTGTACATTTCCATCTGAAATCAGCCCAAGTGTTATTGGCAATATATTTTCTTCAGAGAGAGGGGGAGAGGGGGGATCTGGCGTTTGGACCCAATAAAATGCTCTGCTCCAGTGTAAATATTTACAGGGTATTAGTGACTTTTTAAAAAACATTTTCAGTGAGGTCTGTTATTTACAATGTGTCATAAGTTATTAATGTTCATTGCCTAAGTACCCTGCTAAATCTGTCTCATGCCTTAGAACAAAGTTGACAATTGGCATATTGTTTAAAGTATGAAAAAAATGCGAGTGGGTTTAAAAATTGGAAATATCTGTATTTTCAGAAGTGTAAATATTGCTTTGTAGCCGTCAAACTGCAGCCCTTGGGGATGAAACAAATAAGTATATTTTGGCTAATTTCTCAGTGAAACGGAGTTGTCACCGATTCAAGTGTTCTCTGGAACTTGCGGAATGGCAAGAGGGAGTCCTGCCTGTTGTGCTAACTCTGCCTCTTTTCTTCTTCCCCCCCAAAAAGTTCCCCACGATGTCCAGTGATAGGCAGAGGTCAGATGATGAAAGTCCAAGTACCAGCAGCGGTAGTTCAGATGCCGATCAGAGGGATCCACCTGCACCTGAACCTGAAGAGCAAGAAGAACGAAAACCCTCTGCCACCCAGCAGAAGAAGAACACCAAACTATCCAGCAAAACTACTGCTAAGCTATCTACTAGTGCTAAAAGGTAAAGGGGACAGTAAAACCTTCTGTAGTATTTTTGCACGGTTTTTTGAGTCATGGTGTTTGCGTTGTGCTTATCAAGGCAGAGGGGTTCTTCCTGCAAAGATAGGTGGAAGAGAGTGAAGTACCGATTTTTGTAGTACAGGAGCCTGCCAGGCAGTATCTTCATTAATCCCAGTTTTAGCAGGACAATAATTCAACAGATTTATGTCTGTGGAAGAATTGTTTGAGATCTTGGTAACGTACAGGCTCTCTGGGGGGGGCACCTAAACACACGTTGTATTTGCAAAAATGTGAGAGAAGGTGTCAGCTTCCGGTATATTTTTCAGAGTTAGATTTCCATGCCTGGTTTGTATGGGGTGGAGTCCTCCTGGTGTATTTTACTATGGTCTGTAGACTGATGACAAGCAATGCTCTTTAATTACAGAAGTAACAAAACCCCAGTGGCTTCTGTGGGCCTTATGACTAGCTTTTCATGTCAGTGCATGGGAGAGCCTTGCATACCTTGAAGTAATGGGTTCATTCTGCAGCTCTTTCACGAGAAGCTTAGGCAAGTTTTCTCCCTTAGGATCTGCAGATTCAAACCATGGAGTTCTACAGGTGGCCTCTACCTTTAAATATCAAAATCTTCAGAAACCTTGTTTAGTTATATCTCTTGCATTTTTATTTGCATATAAGGTTACTGGCAGTCCAGCTCTCAAGACATGCACTCTGGTAATTTTCTGTAAGTTCAGTTGTGTGAAATAAGCAAACTTCGAATCCCTTGATTCCAGTGGTCTTTGGAGATGAAACACAACTTTTCAGTCCTTTCCCTGGAGTTGCTTTTCTTTACAAACGTTTACAAATATACCATAGCAAGAAAAGCTGTAGAGTAGCTGTAGTAGCTTCAAGTTTTGCTTATTCACTGTGAATACTGTAGCTCTAATATTCGGGAACATTTTAGTTACTTTGTATTGGACTTAAATTCAGGAAATACTTTTTGAAATGTGTTAAAATTGCTGCAGAGTATGACTGGGTGGCTTTGATGATTTCTGAGCTTGTTAAAGAAACCTTCTGAAATAGGACTGGCTAAAGAAAGAAAAAATCTGGAACTACTATGTAGGCTTTGTAATTTCTTATTACTTATCTTTTTTTGAGAAGCCTGAGATGTGGGCTTTTGAGACTGAGTTTTCCCCTCTTGTCTTTATTTCACTTAATTGTTGTAAGTCTAATTCTGTACATCTCCAATAGTTCAGTAGTCTGGCTGAAGTTATTGGTACTAGTGCCAGGGCATGCACAGCAGTTTGTTAGCTCCTATTTTAACACTTCTTCATGTGAAATTCACAGTCTTGCTTGTATGGGTCCTCTTCTGAAGAGAAGTCTTATTTGATATTTTTAAGAGGAATTTACCACGCGCCTTTTGAAATTACACCTCTTATGTACCTGAACAAACTATTAAATTGACAAAAAGTTTTCAGTATTCCTCTTCCAGATCTTAACACCTTGGGAATGGTTGCAATAGAGTAAAGCTAAGCACAGATTATTTAAAGTTATTATAACACTTTTTGTCATGTAAATACAGCTACTGTATAAGGTTGGGGGAGGAAAGGCAGCAGAAGGTGTGGAGAGAAGCAAAGTTGATCCAGAGAGATTATTCCAGTAACAGAGACAGCCTGGCAGATCTGCAAATCCACTTTTTAAACACACTGCAAAGTAGTAGGTAAAATATTGTGAAAAGAGTGTGTCTGCTGCCAGCGTGGTTCACTTCTTCAGCCTCACAGGTCTGTAGCGCTGGTTTAAAGTCATTGTCAAATCTGCCTGTGCAGCCCCCCCCCCCCACCCCCCCCGCCTAATTTGCATATTAGCTTGAAAAGAAAATCTCTCTGGTAAAAAGTGCTCAGATGTGAAAAAGAGTTACTTTTCTGAATACTTGTGGGAAATTTCTACCCAACTCAGTTGTAAGTGTTGTGTTTATGTACAGCATGGAGCAGGAAAAAAGCTGCAAAGTTTCTCAGCTGTGGGATTTGGGTTATGCCTCTGAGAACAAAGAGGAAGCAGCCATGTTAGCATTACTGAAGGCAAAGCCAATCTTGCATTTAACTGCATGGTGGTAGAGGGCAGTGTAATTCCCTGATTTATTCTATAGACTATCTCAAATGCTTTGTGTCTGTTCTCATTTCACCAACAGAATCCAGAAGGAGCTAGCTGAAATAACCCTTGATCCTCCTCCGAACTGCAGGTATGTAACGGCTTCTTAAATTGTGGATGGTGGTAGGAGAGAAATGTGCTCAGGCTAACAAATGGGAAACTTAGTGTTTATGACCAGTGACTGTTAGAGAAAAATTGCGTACAGCAGATTGAACAAGCATAGGGGACGTTTGATACTCAAGTTTGCTCTTTTGTCTGCACGTTGGAGGCATAGTCATTAGTGATTGATGTACAGAGTAAAGAGTATTCAGTTTGGTTTTCATAGCTGGTCACTGCCTTCGTGAAACATTAATTATATGAACTTCTGAATACACTGAAGCTTTCAACTTAACGTCTGCATGTAGTTTGAACTGGCTTTTAGAGTGCCCGGTTTATAGAGTTATCACTTCATTCCAAAGTAAAGGTAAAGAACCATATGTGAATTTTTTAAATATGCTTTCTCTCAGTGTGTTGCTTAACAGTTAGATAATCTGAAGTGTTGCCTTTAAATTTACGTGTCTGTTGGTCAAAGTTGTAGTCTCTTGATAGAGACTATTTTTAAGGAAGTTCCCAACTTGGGAGACACTTCTGTTGCATTTTAGAAAATGAAATTGTGAGCTTGGAAGATCGAGTGATTTAGCCTTAGATAAAGTGATGGTAACTGGAGCACTTGATCTGTAGGAAGGTTAAATAGTAGCATGGCTAGCTAATTTCTTGAAATCTTTTGCATGTTTTACTTTTGTTTAAAGGATGCATAGGAATTCTCATTTGCTGTGAGCATCCAGTGTTCTGATTTGAAGTGAAACTACATTTAAATAATGTTTCTTTCATTTGATACATCTCAGTAAGATTTATGACTGCAAGGTATCTTCAGGTTGACAGTTCGTGTGTAACAGCAAGCCTTGTACCTGTTTAAAAAAATGCTGGAAGTATTTCCTGATTTGATGCTGGAATTGTTTGGCTTTTTGAATAGTTGGAAAGGTTTGGTGCACGTCTTGCAAATTCAGTAAAATGTGAGTTGTTCTCCTGTCTGACTAGTCCGTGAGAGCAGGGACTAACCAGAGCTGTGTTACATTGAATTTGTGGCAAAGGTGTCTTACCCTGAGGACCCTGCTGTAGATTGCCTATGGCAGTCTGATGTATTTGCATACAGGGTCAGTGGCTCTCCGTCTTCAACAGAGGCAAGTTGTGTCGAGAGAGCAAATGTCTGTTATGTTTGTTTTTTGGTTGGTTGGATGTGGTTTTTTTTTGGGGGGGTGGTGGTGGTGGTTTTGTTTTTAAATAACTATTTAAAATAACTTTAAATAAATCAGTGGTATCTAGTTCTGTGTTGGTCTTGTGCTTTCTGCTTGCACCCTCAAAAGGGGCATGGTAGGAGAGAAAGTATTTAAATGAAATAGAACACCAGCACTTTGCCTTACAGTTGCTATAAAGATAATTGTAGCGGTTTCGGGTACAGCAAGTTACAGCTTGGCTTTTAGAAAAAGAAGCCTCCCCCCCCTCATACTCTCCCATACCATCTGATATTTAGCTCCTTGGAAAAGCATGTTCCTCTCGTATTAGCGCAAGAGTATTTCAGAGAGTTTTCCTTGTGAACTGGTACTACCAGATGCCCAGGAATGCTGTTGAGAATGATGAAAACCCCCCAATGTGTCTAAAATTATTCAAGTTTCTCTCCTACAGAGCGCAGGGGAAAAGATTATTTTTTTGCCAGTGAGGAAGTCGGTGCTTCTGTTCCCATAAGTAATTTTTTAAGAGGAATGTAACCCCTTTACTCAATAGTACCTGTATGATAAGTGCATTTTTACCTTTTGCAAAATAAAAAATATTTACAAGAGATATTGGCTGCTGCAACAGAAATACTGAGTTTTCAGGATGAATGGTTTGAACAGAGTTTCAGTGCCTGAAGGATTACCGTTACATTGGAATTGACTTGTTAGAAGGAGCCTTTCTGGTATCAGGAAGTAAATGCAGCTGTGTGTTACGTGCAGAGCAGTAGAAGCTTGTAACATGCTTTCTTATAGGGTGTAGTAGCACAGATTAGGCAACAGACTGACACAGCAGGCATATGACACCTCTTCATTGCTCATCATGCAACAAGGAGCGTAACGCTACTTATTAATTTGTAAAAGAAAAATAATTTGTAAAAAATAATTTAAAAGCCTGTATAACTTGGGCATATTCACATGTGCTTTAAAAATAAAAGCCACTGTGTTGTAAGTTCTCCCAAGGAGATTTCTTCATGCAGCATTGTTTCTCCAGTTCTAGAGCACACCCTTATCGTTTCCAGCCCACATGTTGCAGGCATCACAAGAATACAACTGCCAACCTTGGCAACTCTTGGACGTTGATAGTCCTTCTGGTTACTCAGTTACATAAATGATAAACAGTTAGCAATTTTAAAAAATATGACAATGGCACATATAAAACATTAAATGTTACTTTAACAAGTTACAGTACAAATACTGAAGAGTACATTGAACTCTCCTGTACCACACTGAACACTGATGGCTGCTGCCACTTCTCACCTGCCAGAGTAACTGCATGTAGAGTCGCTCCATCAGAGTGATCTGAGGCTAATTTAGCTGCTTTAAAAATGACACTGACTGGTTACACTGTGATTTTCATGCAAGAGAGGTATAAGTTTCCTCAGCAGTGAAATTTCCCACAGTCACATCTATTGCTAGAACATCTGTTTTATAAAAATGCGGTGTCCCAAGAGAGCCCCATTCCTGGGTGTGCTGAGCAGGCCTGGGCTGCACATTAACTTCTATTTTAGGCACTGGGATAGCAGAATGACAGGCACAGTAAAATGTCTAAATAGCAATTTTTTGCTTGCTTGTCTCAACAGTAGAGATTGATTTCTGATTCTGTTAATTGGACAATGAACTGTTAGAAAAATCGCGTTGTCATGTATAATGTTGTCACGCTCATGAGTAGTGAATATGAACTGCATCCTAGGGGTTACCAAGTATAAAACTTAACATCTTTATGCTCATAGCTTTACTCTTTAACATATAGTAATACTCTAAATTCCTGTGATTTCCAAGAAAGATAAAACATCAAAACCAATAAAATTAGATTTGGTCTTAAGCCACTAAAGATGTTGGAGGGAATTCTCCTCATGTTTTCTCCTGTCCAACAGAAGAACGTGAAATGAGTCAGGGGCTGTCCAACATGCACCACAGCGCTAGGACAGATAGGTAAACTGAGGACACAGGTATCTGATCCTTTTTTTTCTTCCTTTTGCTGGCTTAATTCAAAGCTGTGCTACTTGGTGCAGTGTGCTGTATTTAATCTTTTGTGCTTTTAATAGCATAAAGCAAAGCTAAAAAGGTCTTGGCCCTATTGCTCCTAGGCAGCTCAATTTCAAACCATGGCCAAGCGCTTATACATACTTCAAGGTATGGAAGTATGCCAAACCCCACCGTTCTACATTCTCAGGAAAATTCTGCAAAGATCTTGCACGTATTGCGTGGTAAATCTGGGCTGCAGAGATGCTCTTAAATAGGCTTGACATATCTGGAATAACTATTTTCAGTTCACGGCGTAAAACTGTTTAGATCAGAGGTCACCGCTCTGTAGTTCAGGTTTGATCTGAGGCTGCTGTTCTGATCTGCCTAACTTGGAGGCTGCAGCTCAGGTGGAGCAGGGCACAGCCAGCTCCGACACGTGTTGTACTTCCTGGAGTTTAGGGCTGGCACAAGCGAGGCCGTTCCCAGCGGTACCGTGATTTATGGCAGTTGCCTTTAGTTGTTCCTGGCTGCCCTGCTGATCCACAATAGCAAAAATATGTATTCCCTATCTTCTTTCCTCACTCCTCCTCATTTCCATTCCAAAATTAATCATTGTTCATCTTCATGGGAAAGTTTTTGAAGTTCAACCCAATATTAAGTAAATCTAGTAACACCCATGCCAACTTAGTTTGCAGTTTACAATCCATTTTACAACAAATCCAGTTTGGTATAAACTTTGCAGGAAATGAAAGCAAACACCAAAATCAGCGTATCCACTCAGAGCTTAATTCATGTGGCTTAAAAAGAGGTGAGTTACGATAGTGCATCTTTCCCATGCAGGTGAGAGAATTTAATCATTTTATAGTCTGTTCTATCCGTTGACTTTAATCTCTTTATTAAAGTAAAGATCAGATATCTGAAAGCAAGTGGTTAAACAAAAGGGAAGAAAAAAACCCACATGCCTTAGAGTACTGGTCAGGGAGACAACTTTCCTCCTTTGTAGCTGCTGGGAGATGGGAATTCTTAGCAAGAGAGAGCTGCTTGGATTGTCCCAAAGGCTCCCTGCTCTGTCTCATCCTCTAGCTAGCGAGTGCCTGACCTGACAGGTCAGTTTAAAAGATTTTTCTTAATAGGGATTACTATCTCAATTACTATTTATTTCCAGGTCTTGTATGCTGATACATACTAATGTGATTCCTTGAACAATACTACAAAAGGTAGCAGTTGATGGTTTTGGTGTTTGTAGCCTCTATTAGGCTTGCAAGTAGGTTGATAATTTATGAGTAGTTAATTTTAAAATTACTTATTTTAAAATAACACACCGAAGTGTGTGTACTGAGCACAATGGGAGCAAGACATGTAGGGGGTTTGTTTTAATACAGGATTCTTCTGCTTCCTAAGGACTGCGTTTGTCCCTTTCATTACTGCCACATCTTGGGCTAATTCTACACTGCAGAGTGTTGCCAACCCAACCCCACGGTCTGGAGTTTGACACAAAGAAAAATGCCTGCAAACCCCTGGCAGACGAATGCTATTACTGGTTTAGTTATGGACCCGTGAATCCAGATGTTTGTAACTGTCTCACTGTGGTTATTACCCCATCAGTGGGGAAGCATTGCAGTATGTATTTAAAGCAATATTGTGAAGGTATTCTTCAGACCAGCAATTTAAGCTCTTTCAATTGAGCTGTCTGAAACAATGAGGAGCAATGAACTATTGTGCTGGTGGTACAGGCTCTTCCACGTGCAGAGGTAGCACTGGATTTGAGCTAACGCAGCCTCGTATTAGTGAGGAAGGTGCCGCAGCTAAGCTGGTA